TTAACGATACCATTCCTTCGTCAACCAGCCACTTCGCAGTATTCAAGATATGTTCATCTCGAATTTTGCTTAAGCTCTCAAGCTGTCTAGCTAATTGAATTTGCTGCAGAAAAGGATGGGAAATATCTCCCTTCAATTTCTCAGTCATAGATACTATGTTTTGTATCATTTCTTGTTGCGGAATTCCTTCCACGCATGTTAAAACGCTTTGCGCGTGCAAGATATTCAAATTGTCTTTGTAAGACCTGAACTCCAAGCTAGACACGTATCGCTCGAGATCTTCTTGAGTTTCACCACGGACAATTCTAGCTACTCCTTGTTTTAGTGAACCATCTGCCCTTTTTCTTCTTTTTGGCTGGCTTGGCGTCTCGCTTACACTTTCCTCCTACAAGTAAGATACAATATTTGAATAACCATCAGGGCTTTTGGGCGAATTGCAATTAAGATAGATTCTATATCAACGCTACGAGTTTCTGGTCAACCTCTTGCCGGCATAAAGAACTAACGCGCCAAGCGCGCAGCGTCAACAAACTAATCAGGGCGAGGTCTCAGGAAGTAAATAATTCCTGCATACATGGTGAAAATTTAGATTGAGTGTAGAAGGCGTGAACGTCTGAGGAAAGCTCCCTATTCCCTTCCAAACCACGGACCACTTGCAAAACAATATTACGTCTAGCATCAACACCGGCTTGTGCGTCATTGTGCACAGCGCAACTTGAACCTTTCTCAGTGCCCGCCGTGTCCGTGTCCGTGCATTGTTCTATTTAACAATTAGATTATGAGCTCAAGATTTCTATAAGGTGATAGTTGATGAGGCCGAGGGCCGAATCACTATCACTTCATGGAAATCGAGAGCGCATAATCTAATTGTTTTAGTAGAATTCTTACTAAAATTTACTTCAAATAACAGTTTCCAATTATTTCTTGACGCATTATTAAACTTTGCGCCTGAAAAAGGTCGCTCGGATTTAAGTGCCGTTTAAAATCGAAGTTGTGCGCGCGCATCAGCTTTTTCAATAATTTCAACTTTTTTAAAAGTCAAGAAACCCTAAATGTCCCTCGTTAGGCTTGTCCGAAATTCAATTATCCATTTGCATCAAAATTTTCCTCCAAAACTTGGGAAAAACGAAAAAAAGTCGCCGTTTCCAAGATGATCTCCAGCCACTGCACACTAATGGCTGATAGTGTTCAATGGTTCAGTCAATCCGATTACAGCATTTGCATTAGTATACCAGTAGAACTCTACTGATCAAGAACATAGGGTCAAAAGCACTGTTAAACGTTTTTTTAGCAATGCAGAACTTTCTTATATGGAGGTTTCACGGTGTAGCTTTCTATCTCAGTAACGATCTAGTGGCCCGAGAACCTCTCCTCTTTAAGTCTTAGTTTTTATTTGCTTACCTCGTCCTCTTCATCTTCTTGTTCTGCTGGGTTTTCTCCTACTTTTGTAGCCGCAGGTGATTGTTCGGAGATAACTTCCTCTTCAGAAACTCCTGAATGCGGAAATTGGTCTTCCTGGGTTTCTTGAGGAGTCGCCATCTGGATTTCGTCTTCCTGGGATTCTTGAGGAGTCGCCATATGGATTTCGAGTGATTGTTCGCAGATAACTTCCTCGTCAGAAACTCCTGAGTGCGAAAATTGGTCTTCCTGGGTTTCGTGAGGACACGCCATCTGGGTTTCGAGCTTGCTACTGCTGGATATAGCCTGCAACTCGCTTTCTGCCGTTGCTTTTCCCGTAGCTACAGAAGACTGTTGCGAGAATAACTTCAC